TCCTAAGTACCTACCTATAAATACAGATACATTGTTATAACTTTCAATCAAAACCTTTCTTATTTTCCGGTACCGATTTTACTTGGAAAGGTTGGCAAAGAAGCAGTCGAAATGCAAAGTGAGGTTTCTCCAATCGATGGATTTGAACTCGAATATTGGTCCTTACGTGCCTCGTTAAAGGTCATGAAAGCCTTGAAGCGTTTGAGGTCGAGGATAAAATAAGTTTTAAGTAAATAATAATTGTTAAAGACCATCGCAAGTCGATTCATGTTTTAAAAAAACTGTAAGTGATTAGATATAACAACAGTTCAGTTTCAGGGTCTTATTATTATAAAATTTTAACTTTTAAGAAATATGATAAGATGAAGAAATATGACGAATAAAATTAAAGAACATGTAACTAATTATTTAAGAGATGATTTATGGCTAGGAAGTTTGTTTGGTGGCTTATGCAAGACAAGTGATTAATAACGATTACATAGAAAAATCCATATTAATAAATCAGTTGAATGAGGTAAGAACTTGTGCAAACAAAAGAAAATTACATGGGCATCCGTAAATAGGTTTATCTATACCATTATCTTAGATATCGCCTTGATTATAGGTGAATAACAGCCTTCATCAGAGTAATGTGTTAGATAAAGCTGCAATCATATCTATACAAAGAAAGTGAAAAAAAAACATTATTTTTTTTTCCATTAAAGAGACCAAAGAGATTTAATCACATAATCAAACTAAATATCTCCCAAGGCATAGTATATACTACCGTAGCAGATTAATAACGCTTTTGCTTTTAAAAATTAACGAAAACACTGAAGTCGGCACGTAAATTGAAATAATAATATATCTTAATATCACAAAATTACTTATGGTACATCATTTTTGAGATCCCATAATTTTTTTAAAAGTTATGAAGAATATCCACCTCGGGTACTGGAGGATTTTAGCGAGCTTCTACTGGGGTGTTCCTGGTTATGAGATTTGCAAGAGCAGTGTTTATAATATTACTAAAACACCAGTCACATCCATAAAATATGTTTTGGTATCATAATTTTAATAACAATACATAACGTTTACAATATTGTTTAGGGAAAAACAAGTAAAGCTAGTGAAAATCGTCACTAAACATTCGAGGACATACAAAGATCACTAATCTGGTACTTAATTTTAGTTATGTCACCTAGGAAACTTAATAAACTTAGCATTGGAATAAGTAATGTCAAACCAATAAGAAACATTACGAAATCACTACATAGTATAAAACAAAGTCGACATGCTTTCTGTCTGTCACAAGTACGCTTAGATCTTTAAATCTACTAGATAGAGTGGTTCAAGGGGAAGGTTTATATGTATAATACATTGAACCCGTGCGAAGCCGAGGCGGGTCGCTAGTATAAAATAAATTGTTAAGTACAATAGGTACACTAATATCTCCAATGCTCCAATACCCAAACGTATTGTATACCACATATACCTATGTATAAATAGCCCCGTGCCGTTCTTTTGAGTGACCGTTTCGTTTTCGTTGTAAATACAGGATACCTATACATCTACCATCAGCCGCAGCAAAAATTTTATGCTACAAACAAGCCTAACTACAACCAAACTGTATTTTTGTATGATTTATATTTGCCAACACTATTAAACTTTTCAAGTTATCATTTAAAGTGTTTTATCAATTTATTAGTCATATGCTCATGCAAATTATCAAGAAATAAGTGTATCAAACGTCCGCTGTAATAGTATCTAACATATAAAATTCCCGTGTCACGGTGTTTGTAATTGAACTCCTCAGAAACGACTCGACCGATTTTCGTGAAATTTTGTGTGCACATCGGACAGGGTGGAGAATCAGATAACATCTATTTTTCATCCCCCAAAATGTTAAGGGTGGTCCACCCCAAACAACGTTTGCCGGGACAGCTAGTATTATATGAAATACAGAGATGGCACTAACACTTCTAATTATTTTACTGAGAATAAAAAGATAATAATGTTAATTGGTGTAATAGACATTTTTTTTTTTTTTCATTTTCTTTCTATCAAGCACTATTGGTTCAAAGATAAGCTGCGATCGATTGTCGATGGTTGCCGACATGCATTGCAGCTTCGATGCAGCAAAATAGCGCCAAGACATATGAAACAATAAACATGCAGCGAGGACCTCTCCCATTATAAGAACGTATTGGACATTAATATATCTGTAATAACTCTGCGCTTAATTTAAAAAATTTGTGAATGAAAACAAAAAAAAAAATAGACGGAAAGATATTCGCCGCGTGAATCGAACCCAGGTCGGCTGGATTCGCGGCCCGTCCCTTTTAACCGCTACGATACGGCTCGGGTTGGCACACCGACGACCATCTCAACGCACCTATTTTATCGCATTTTAAAAAATTACAAGCACATAAATAATTATATAATATAACAATCATTATAGCAGTTAACAATACATGCACCAAGCATTTCGTGTTTATTTAAATTGGACCAATGTACAATTGAGAAAACTTTTTAATCTTTCTAATCATTCACATTATTATAGCTTTATTCCTGACTTCTCAAAGTTGCCAATTTTCCCCTAAATTAAGTATAAATGAATATCAAAACTTATTTATTCTTATTATGACCCTAATTTCAAAACAATAGCGCTTGAATAGACTTAGGCTCTGTTTCAGAAACACTGATCATCGTAGAAGTCAACTAATCAGCTGTCTGGCTAAATGTTATTTGAGTTGTCAAAAGGATTGTTAAACTCCATGAATTGATGAGAATGATCTTCTTAATGATCAGAATGTATACCAAACCACCTTTTACAGATAATCCATTTCATGTTAATGACCCCTTGCAGATTTAAGCAAATCCCTTAATTAAATTCAGTCAAAATGTTTGCTTTTGATTTTTGATATGTAAAACACACTTTTTTTATAATAAAAACTATTTTTACAACATTTAAAGTGTACTTAAAAGGAGCTAAACAAAAAGCCTTGTTGTGAAAATTAGTCCCAATTTATTCTTTTAATTATGGTCAATGAGAATATTTGATGATTTAAATATATATGACTAAAAAGATTGTTTTTACATTTGCTAATTGATTTAACCTAGAAAATTTTAATGCCTCTTCTATTCATGCTGATATCATACTCTGCACATTTAGATTGACATTGACAATTGTTAGTGTTAGTACCATAATTAACCTACATACATTTCGATTGAGATGAACTAAAATAGAGTCAAATTCAACTCTTATGGACTGTACTTGTAAGGTCCATATCGTTATTAAAAAATAAGTTCAATTATAATGAATACATCACTAAATTTATTTAATAAAAGGTAACTTTTCAAAGGAATAACCTGTTTTAAATTCATTATGAGTTAGAATCTAAGAAGAAATTAAATTTTGAAAAAATGTAGAAAATTTGTATTTGCATTTCTATCATATGGACTACTTGCCTGTGTGTTTTGTTAAAAATTACCATTCAGATTTAATTTTAATCAAAAATTGTAAAATAATATTAAAAAGTTCTAAAGATACAATTAAAAATACTCTACAATTGTAACACAAAGATTTATTTTCTTTATACAATAACTCAAGAACAAAAAAAATCTATTTGCCTGTCAAATAAATGTTTGTCCTATCTGGGGATTAAGCCTACAGCCTGGTACTCAATGATAATTTGCTAGACGCACACAATCTCCATCAATATATATCTATATACCTATATTTTCTTTTTAAAACCCTGGTTATGGTTCAAAAGTGACTAACAAATTTCATTTTATTTTATTTTCAGCCAATAAAAGAATATTTTATTGCCACAATTTTTTACCATTTATTTATTACTTATTAAAATTATAAATTTCAACAGTTTACAAAAAATGTTTCGTAAAAATTAACAAAGTAATTAGGAACTTAATATTAACAAAACATAATTAGTTTTAAAAAACAAAAACATAATTAGTCTGGTAAACAAATATTTACTAAACAGGGTAAACATGTTAATGACGTAAAGAATATTTCACTTAGAAATTTCCACATAATGATAATGACCTAAATCTTTTTCTAACCGTGTTTGGATAACAACTCTTCTAATATATGTCAACTACATAATAAATTTTATAAATTAAACTATACCATATTTTTTTAAAGTACCAAGATTATAATACTTCTCAAAGTTCGTTAATTTTACTTGTTAACATACACAACAATCTTTTTCATTACGTCGAAAAATTAAAAATGTTTATACTTATTACAATTTTTTTACGGAATTCAAATAAGAATATGACAGAATTTTTACATATATTACTTATTATTATACTACTACTTATTCTTAGGTTATTATGTCAAATTTTATTTAGAAAGAAAACTTGTTTTCAATTGATATCATGATATTTTCCACTATTAAATCAAGAAGGACAGAGTTCAATACTTTAAGTATCAAAATGTCATACTGAGATTGAACATTTTTAACACTTAAATGTTTAGATAAACATCATCCGGTTGACTGAAAGCTTCAATATCTCTTTTAAAGATCTCTTCGTCCAAGCTTAAATAAGTGTAATATATGCCATAATAGATAATTAAATCTGGCTCTCCACCCACATTTGGTGGGTATCAGATTTGTATCCTGTTAAAATTTTACAATTTCTTGACATAGTTTTTATAAAAGGTTGAAAAGTGCAACTTCATATGTAATTTATCTACAGTGCAAACTGCAACAGCACAAGATATTGTTTTGCAATCAAAATATCAAATATCATAAAAAATCTATGAAATAATAATTAACATCCATTAAATGACTGTTGTTTTATTCCAACAGACAAACACAAAAGACACATAGTAAGGTGTCAAAAGAAAAACACCTTTATTAACCACTTATTTTAATTTTAATAAATGCCTCTAAACAGCCAGTATAAATGGCACTATTGTAACCTACAAGTTTAATAATATTAATTGATCAAAGCAAAAGAAAAATTTCGAGTAGGCGTTTAAAATTAGTACTCACTCTTGAAAATGTCCTCAGCCGGTTTACTCGAGGGTTCGATGCCACATTATTGAGGGAAACTTTAGACATCTTCTATTTTAATAGTCTACCTAGTTATTGATACTAAAATACCACTGATGTTGCCAAAGAATACAATTTTAAAACTTTAAATAAACACTAAAATGAACTGACACAATAAACTAATTTGATTAAATTTTTAAAATCAAAAACTAATAACACAAACCCATAATGTTGAACTATATGTACAGGTTAAAAACTATTATATAAAAATTGTTACTTCGTCAAATTGTTTCGAACGAAACCATCATATTTTATATTAAAAATATTTTGTTTTGTTTGGTAACGTTGACAGATGAGCCTACAACGACGACTACTGTACTTTTCGGACCACAGATGACACCACACAATCAATGCACATGTACCTTCTCTCGCGCCGCCAGTCCGACAACTGTTCATAAACTGACTCGCGCCAAGTGTTATGGTTTGTGGCGCGAAAATTGGATCTTTTCGGTCACCTAACGATCTATAGCTGACAATTTTACTTACATGATAAGCTAATCACCGTAATTTTATATCAAAAATGATTTTTTTTATACTAGTATTAATACCATTAAAAGTTATTTATTTCACAATAAGTAATTATTAACAAAGATTAAGAAGAACAACCCAAAAACGTAATTAGTAATTGACAAAAATAAATGAGCTATTTAATACATAACGTCCCCAAATTATTATTTGCCAATTAACGTCTATTTAAATTCATGCTGCGTTCTCTGTCTAGTATTCCAGTGACCAGTGTTCAGTTTCCAGAAATTCAAGTTTGTGAATTGAAAAGATATAGGTCGCCACTTTTATGTAACACTTCATATTGCTGCCAGTTTCGAAAACTAAGTTTTACATGAATAAAGCTGACTAGGCTAACAATTATATTTTGGACTTTTAAGTAAGTCTATAAAATGAATAAGCAATCGTCATTCACACTTTTAATCTTACATCTTCTTACCAGCGACTGTTCTGTGGGGTTAACGTGAATGCGAGGTTTTTCGTCGTCGTCTTGTGGTGCACATTCTGCACCAGCAATCTGGCCCATGGCGGTGTTTTACTTTACGATGAGTCTGTGTAGTGCGTTGGCGTAACCGCGGCTTTTAGCCGCGTGTAGACGCCGCCCGCGCGTCCGTCACGGGACCACTGCCGCGTCACTCTGCCGCCATGCACCCCTTGGAATTGGATCCTAGGCGTTGAATTTCTGTATCGATATGTTAAAAGAATCTCTCTAATTGTGGTATTACACACTTAGGCAAAAAATATAAATTATTTTATCCCGTATCATAGTTTCATTAAAAATAATAATGAAATAGTATCGCAGCGCTACGATCATTATTACTTTCGTTTTTAATAAAATATTTTTTTATAAAAATTTCTTCGTTCATTTAGTCTAGTTCGGATTGAAAAAGCTATGTTACAGCAACTTAAATTATGAGTTAATATTATAGAAAATGAGGGGTGATATCATAATATAAAAAAAATATGTATACCATTAAGCTTTTAAGGCTTTTTTACCTTATACAAATTGTAATTACTTAGTGAATGCGCTTAATATCACTGTCGCATAAAGCATTCTTAAAATGTAAAACAATATATTTATATAACACTCAGACAACAGCAGTTACATATTCTCAGCGTTTAATATACATTCTACATTATTTTTACTTTATCGATATAAAAGAAAGCTCAAGCCTCAACTCTAGCGTCTAAGCGGTCGATACAACGGCAGTCCGCCGTTCAACCGAGACCTTTGACAAAAAACTCCTTAAAATTACGCCGTTACTTTCTATTCGAAGAAACTACTTTCATTAAATATTGAAAATCAATTCAATTTAAAAAAAGATTTCAATGATATGTGAATATTATTAAAGAAGAAAGAAATGTGTGAAGTTTTACGATTTTAGTATTTATACAAGTTATAATTTTTTTTTCAATGGGTGGTTTCATGTTAGTAACAATTTTTTTCAAATACATTAATCAATTGAATTCAAAAAGTTTAACTATCTTTTTGGCAACTTAAACAACTTATGAAAAGCCATTTAACAGCTGATTAGTTAACTTCTACGATGATCAGTTTCAGAAACCGGGCGTTAGGCTTGTTTTTAAGAAAAAAAGCTTTTTAAAGCAGGATACATTCATAAATAAATGTCTATCATTAAAAACAAAACTTTAGTTATTTTCTTGGTCTTTAAGTTTCAGCCGATCTCTTTAGTTTATTATTTTTCATTAGGTAGGTATTAGTAGGTTGAAGGAAACTAGCAAGTTTAGAGACCTTTACTTTTGAAAGCTCTGCTTTTTGTGCATATACCCTTAAAGTATGTATTATATATGCACAAAAAGTATATATAATACAGGGCCGCCGTATAATTAAGGAAAATAAATAGCTGTGAATATTCAGTATAAACAAAGTTTATTCTGATAGTATTTTGAAAACTTAATCTTTTTATTGCATATTCAATTTATTTCATTTTTCTTAGTTGAACTTTCCGCTTACGACAATGAACGTCGCCCCATCTAGTTAGTATAGTATACATTAATATTTAAAAGTTTTCCGATGAACCGATGTCTAACTACCAGCACTGTCCGCCCGTAGATTCGTTTTTAGTGTTTAAGTCAGTTTTGGCTAAAATTGTAATTTCAGTCACATCTAAATTACATAAAACAAATAAAGCTTAAAATCGGCCAAAGCTTCGGCCACAACGAAATTTTACGTATTTGATGTGATTTCTATTAACGTTAAAGTGATGTATATTTTGAACTAACATAACATCCAAATTATTTATTTCCAAGAAAAATCAAGTTTGATATTGTAATATTTCATCACCCTTTTATAAGAAATGAACTGAAAAATAAAAGCTTTTTTTGGTTTGACTGAATAAAGTCTTACTCAGTAAATAATAGATGGCGTTGCGACTGTGACGTTGATATTGAGACATGCTGAAAGTCTTAACTAGTAAATAATAGATGGCGTTGCAATCTAGCGAGGGGTGTCCCAAGTGCATTCTACTATTGAGTAACAGATGTCACTACATCTCCAATTATATCAGAGTTTTTTACACTTGCTAAGTATAAGTAGTAGACTGTGCACTATAGTGAAAAAACCGGTCCGCGTGAGAGGGCTCACATTGGTAGTGTGTCTATTTCGAATTAGATGACCATGATAAAACAGAACACAGGATAAATTGCTTGTAAAAAAGATTTTTAAGTATCCTGATATAATGATGCTATCTAACTACGCTACCTATATCTATCTAATTTATTGTGAGTAAAAAACATCGTTTGTATATTTTTTTAAGAATCTAAAGTACTTCATCATCATCATCATCATCATATCAGCCGTAGGACGTCCACTGCTAAACATAGGCCTCCCCCATTGACTTCCACTTCGACCGGTCGTTAGCGGCCTGCATCCAACGCGTCCCTGCGATCTTGGCTAGGTCGTCCGTCCACCTTGTGGGAGGCCTTCCTACGCTGCGTTTGCCGTCACGTGGTCTCCACTCGAGAACTTTTTGCCCCAACGGCCATCGGTTCTTCGAGCTATGTGCCCTGCCCACTGCCACTTCAGCCTGCTGACTTGCTCTGCTATGTCGGTAACTCTAGTTCTTCTACGGATCTCCTCATTTCTGATTCGATCTCGTAGAGAAACCCCAAGCATTACCCTTTCCATAGCGAGCTTCCTTATGAGGCCCATAGTGAGAGACCACGTCTCGGCACCGTAGGTCATTGCTGGTAGCACGCACTGGTTAAAGACTTTCGTCTTTAAGGACTGAGGTATTTTGGACTAAAGTACTTACACTTGGGTAAAGGGTTGAAATACTTTTTTCCTCTGTTTTACAGTTTAAGGTTGTTGTCAAATTAACGATATCTTCTGATATACCGTTAATTTGACAACAACCTTACAAACCTTTCACTCCGTATAGAGTTACTACAAAAAAGCTACATAATGATATTATTAACTTATTACACCTCTCAAGTCAAAAATTTTACCAATGGAGCGCGCGGTGACACAATTGTACGACTATACATAATTACACATGTGTCGTTACCATCGCGACAATAAATGAACACACATATAGGGGTTACTCTTTAAAGTTGTATTAAACATTTAAATTCTCTAAACATCAATATTTACAGAGTTATTAAATTTTCCAAAACAATGAATTTTAGAACACCCTTACCTGTAAAAGCGTAAAGTAAAGTTCATTTGTAAAGGTCACAAAGCATATGAATGGGTTGAATGAATTTAAAAGAGACAAAACATACTGTTAAAAGGAGAGGCTTGTAATGCGACGTTGTGGCGCGAGTTGTATAGGATGTTACAAATTTTGCTTCTTTTTTAACTAATTAGTTTGTTTGAAAACTATTTTTTTTTAATTATGGATTTTGTTTAACGTTAATATTTTTTTATGATTATTGGCAAGTAGCGTTAGACGTGTGTTCATTTATTATCGCGATGGTAACGACACGCTGTATAAGTACAGCGATCGATCGTGACTACACAATATGGATTTTCCATACTAAGGTAAGTACTATGAAAGTAAGGTCTAAGAAATAAAAACAGTAATATGTGAAGGCTCTTAGATAGAGAGAGCGAGTTTCGTAGTATCTTCCATAGGATAGAGACCACGGTAAACGTGGATTCAGACCCGATAATAAAATCTTATTGCTTGACATATCATACAAGTGCCGGTAGTTGATTGCGTTATAGTGTAATCTTGTTCACTATAATAAGTCGGCTATCATTTGGCTTTGGTAGAGATATTTGGGTATTTTTGGTGTTATGAACATATCTAAAACTTTTTAAAGAAAGTTGATTGGAGTTGATTGGAGTCATATTCGTATAGTGTGAGGGCGTGCGATCTACGTGATAGTCGTCATTGGTGCTTGCGGCTATATGCAGTAATACGCCTTGTAGCGGTTACCTGCGTATGACGTTAGTGCATCTCATGGTCCAGGTTGATGCAGGTTCTAGGTTTAGATGTCTGCTGTAGATGTGGGGAAGCTTTGAGATGGCGTGTGACTAA